TCAGAAACCACGTCATCCATTGCCAGACACGTTACCATAATGGCTACCCCTTGCCAGACAACCTTGAACCTTGATGAATAATAATTGTAACTTGACTTTCATTAAAGTGTAAAAAAAATGTATTTATAGTATACCTTGTGTTTGTGGAAAGTATTATACAGGTGAAACGAAGAGACCTCTCTCAGTAAGGATGAAAGAACACAAGAAAAGACATATCGATGAATCAAAGCTAACTGAACATATCCTTGCTGAAAATGGACAGCATATGGTAGAGTGGGATAATATTGAAATCATAGGAAAGGAAGATAAGAACCAAAAGAGAAAAATCAAGGAATCCGCTTGCATTCTTCTGAACGGAGACAATAGCATTGCTTCCTGTTCAGTTGATATAGATAGAACATGGTATTCACTACTGAAAACTGAACATGAAAATTGTAGATTCAAAATGAATTAATGAAAACATCCTGTAAATCATTTGTATACTAACATCATCACTCATATACAGTGTGTCCACCTTAAGGACTTACCACCCCTGTAAAATTGTTATTATCTGACCGATTTCAAAAACCTTTTTTTTGTTGGATAGGTATTTGAAATGTCAATCCAACAAGAGGTGATTTTACTCATGAACTGTAATTGTGGCCAACTGCGACCAACTTTATTGACCCATATTTGAGAAAGTACCATTAGGGATTTTTTTTCACAAAAAACAATGATGGATTCTGAATCACGATCACTTGAAAAACACCATTACTGATTTTTATCATCATAAAACACAGGGTGTCCGAAAAAACGAATTATGATTTTTTTCAATAGTATTGTGGTATTTTTGAGAAGAATTGATGACACATTATTATTGAGGATCACTCTGAACATATCTGTACCGATTTTCATTATTCAAAAATACTATGTGTATGAGAAAACAATTGAAAAGAAAAAGTAGGCAATATTTTTTCATTAACTCAAAAAAAATATTAATTTGATTTTTCGAACACCCTGTGTTTAATGATGATGAAAATCGGTACAAGTATGTTCCAAGTGATCCTGATTCATCTTTTTATTTTGAGTGAAGAATTCAGGATGAAAAATATTGCTTACCTATCCTTTTTGATTTTTTTCTCAGACACATTGTATATTCAAATGACGAAAATTGGTACAGGTATATTGGAAATAATCCTCAATGATAATTTGTGATTATTTCTTTCTAGAACAACCACAGAACTATACATTTTCTGATCACCTATTTGAAGAAAATGATGATTCGTTTTTTCGGACACCCTGTGTTTTATGATGATGAAAATCGGTACAGGTATATTTCAAGTGGTACTGATTCAGAATCCATCATCAAGTTTCGTGGGAAAAAATCCCTGATAGTACTTTTTGGAATATGGGTCATTGTAATTTGTCGCAGTTGGCCACGATAACAGTCCAAGAATTAGATCACTCTCTCAATGGACGGGCATTTCAAATACCTATCCAACAAAAAAAGGTTCTTTGAAATCGGTCGGATAATAACGATTTTACAGGGGTGGTAAGTCCTTAAGGTGGACACACTGTATATGCCAATATCAGTATGTCACTGAGGGGTGTCAAACTATAAGAAAATAATTTTCGGAGAAAAATATTTTGCATTTTTATATTGAGAACGTCCAAAGATTGGTGAATATTCTATATTTTCTCAATATATTTCTTCTCTTCGAACATTTTCCAAACAGTGTCGCTGATAAGCTATTGGATTTCTCTTTTTGGCTCCCTGATAGAAAAATTTGTTAAGGGCAGTGACATTTTGGGTCGAATCATGTGATTTGTCCTACTACACATATATTGAAATAATACTCATGTTTTTATTTCATAGAAACGAGAAGAGAAAATCCCAAATAATAAAGTAAAAAGAAATTTCTTGCTAAAAATCTTGCTAACAAATCCATTCGTCTATCAGGACCACCTGCGGTTCTGATTTATGCATGCACTAGTTTAGTTTTGCACTTGAAACAATTTCGATATCAATGGTTGCCAAGGTAACTAATATTCATGACATTCTTGTAAGAATCATACGTGATTGCATATTTTGTCAATCAAGAAACACTTACTATAAACCGGTAAAATAACTTAGAAATGAGTAAAATAGATAGGATCGAGTAAATTACAAAAAAGTTTATAAATTACTTTGAATTTCTTGAAGTTTGAAAAAGATTTGCTTGACCCCATCCATTGACAGCTATTTACAGAAATCAAATATTCCTATTCGTTTTCGAGATAATGGCGTGCGGAGTTTTAAGTGAAAAATCCTGTATGGTGTTCCATTTGAAAAAATCATTGCGTACGTCATGAATCAGACGTGGATCACCCTGTACATTGAATTTTCCCTCACAAATGTAAAAGAAAATTCGACATGTTTGAGTACATTTCTCTGGAATGGATAGTTTAGCAAAAAATGAATTTAAGTGAGGGATACTTAGCTGTGTGCACGTAGATATACCAAGATAGTACAAAATGTTGTATTTTGTACATGATTTATTCAAATTTTTCTCATAGCAGAGCGCTCTTGACTATACAGTCCTGATGCGTACCTGTAAGTAAATAATCAGCTTTTAGCTATTGAAAAAGACATCAGGGATTTTTTTTATTTTTTTTATGTTCTGGTTCCCACGAAAAGGGATATCCTGTAATGTTCAGATAACATCGTGAGAACCAAGGGAAATAAGGTAGGAATTGGTGTTCTTCTTGAATTTCTGGAGGTTATATGCCTCGGGAACACCTCCCTTGGCAAAGTGTTCCAGAGCCTCGCTGTTCGTTGAATAAACGAGGAAAGAGATGTTCTGCAGATCTCCAAAGTGACCACGAAAGGGTGCGAAGCCTCAACTCGATGGGTTAATCTCGCGGGGACTGCCAATGAAGGTTGGGAAGTCACATTACACACCTGTACTTCCCGCCTTCACTTCCAAAAATATGATGGTTGCAAATAAAATAATATCCTGCATCGAGATCATAGCTATAACCTCGACGCTTTGCGTCTCGGTTAACTAACTAATCTCCCACCTTGGTGTGTAATGTACTATTCCATTTTCCCCTGATACATGTTTGAATTCAGCTTTCCATGGGAATTCCAAAAATTGAATAATATATAGGGTGTTCCATTTGAAATAATTGACGCAGACATGATAATTCCAACGTATGAACGTGGCAAATTGAAATTGAAAGTCGACCTATTTCAAGAGATTCTTCAGAAATTGATAGTTTGACTGAAAATGATGTTGTTCAGTACTTTACGAAAACACTGTATGTCTGTCTGGCTTGGCATTAGCAACACCAGAATTGTCTAGCTTCTGAGGAAACATTTTCATTCAACCCAAGTAACATGTATGAAATTCAGCTTTTATACTTTAACGAAAGTTAAGTTACAATTCATCAAGGTTTAAGGGTGTCTGGCAAGGGGTAGCCACACCATGGTAACGTGTCTAGCAATGGATGACAAGGTTTCTAATATTATCCCGTATAAAATATGAAAAAATTACCCTTTATGGTATGACGAAAGTAAGTTGGTATTTTTAGCACCTATGTTCCCTGTAACCTCCTAAAGGCACCATGACCCAAACTTCATATTTGCCCATCGTACTTACCTGCGCTGAGAAACTTTTATACAATAACGAAGGTCTGGCGTTCATGGGATCTTGCTCTATTATGAAATAATTAATGTGTTGATTATTACCTACTTTTCAAACATGTCAGCAATCTTCTGTACATATCTCCAATACCTATATGATCTCCTATTCGTGATAGAAAATAACACGTCTCCCCACCTGACGGTAATAACTGAACGATCTCATCATTTTGTTAGTGGAACATTAACCCTCAACTACTAATCATACGTCTCAGAGACGGCATATCAGCATCCGATTTGTTGGATTACCACTGCTTTCCAATATCGGCCATTGTCCTACCACGTAATTTATGTCCAACTAGCACCTATGTATATGGTTCAGTTTTAGAAATATCTTGAGTGAAAGATAGATTCCCGTCTCGTAGACGTATAGTTAGTTATTACGTAACAATAAAATTTCAATTTCGCCTATAATACGTATGATTGCGTCTATATCCAGATATACAGGCATTGCAATTTTTTTTCAATTAGCATGTTTATGACTTAGTTCTGTGTCATATTTTATTACGACTCTAACTGTATTCAGAATGACAATAATATCATCGATAATTTTAGTTTTTCAATTTTATTTTAGTATTTCAATAGATCAATGTCGAAATTTTGAACATAAGGTACTCCTCTATTAAATTTTGATCGCCACTGAAATTTGTATTTCTATTTCATTTTCTCTTCGAAAAATATGTAGTGAACGTGTTTGAATAGCTCACAAATATGAAATAAAAATTTTTGGATATGGACATTTAAATAGTCCCGTCTGTGAGACGTATTGTTAGTGACAACTTTATATATTTGGAACGTTAGTAGTTGAGGGTTAAATCACTTGTGACATTTTGATTCTCTGTAGCGTAGACGTAGGGGTCATATTCGCAAGTAATGGTTGTTTTATCAATCTACCTACTTATACACGCACTTCTGCCATTAGATGGCCCTGAAGGCTGTATCGTCCTTCTTTTCAATCGTTATGAGTGGTTTGTTTTCATGGATGTGAACAATAAGCACAATCAGAGATTAAGTACAATCAAAAACCAAATGTAAATAGAGTTTACAGACCGCTTTGATAGCTCTCATAATCCCCGCTAGGTGGCGGATGCTTATTTTCTATCGCGAATCGTTTAAGGAATTTTTAAACTTGTCATTTTAAAAATGTATCGTTCCAATGTACTGAATGTTCTTAGTTCAATGCAGTAAGGAATTTTTTGTGATGAATCAACCGACTTTTTAATTGATGACTAAACTATGTGGAGCTAGGTCAAGTTTTAAAGGGCCACTATGAAATTATCGAATTATATGTATAGGGTGTGCCAAATTGTTTGATTGTGACAGTTTCTCCTATTTTCAGAACGGGTAGGGAAAAACTGACCTTGTGGTTTGGAGCTTGATTTTTGTGAAACATCGATTGGTGACAACCGCACTTTGATACCTGTAACCGTTTCCGAGATATAATCGAAATTTGACCTTTCACCGATTCCGAAAAATGGTATGACTTTTTTATTTTTGGATATTTTTCTAAACGGTAAAAACTCTCTATAGACGTAGATTGAGATACATCTGCCAAATTATTTCAAATAGAAATCATAGTTTGTTTTGACTTCAAGGAATCAATAAAAAATAGGCTCTCCAAAAATATATACCGGCTGTCAACGTATTCATTAGACAAGCCATAGTTCCCAGACTTCTGAAGGTATGATATTCAAACTTGGCAGGGGTGTTGATTCAAGAATTGTAACATTTTTCGAAATTTCATACTCTCCGATCACCTCCGGTTTCACCGGAAACGATCCTAACTTTTGATTTTCAAATGGGACACCCTGTGTTCTATTCGATAATCAGTTAGGGATCATCCTCCATTTCAAAATGACTAATTGATGTGTAATAACAGGTTCGTACCCACTATAACATACAACTTCTCGAACAGCGAAGAATTATCAGTGATTTATGTTACGGTTTCACTTTGATTTAATGTAAGTATATGTGCACAGACTAGAAGCAGAGTTATCTAAAATCCTTTATTCAATCGTTATACAGATCATTTAGGTATCATGCTTGATATTCCATCTTCATTCGAGTACTGCTTAGATCCAGCAGACCTGGAAAATAACGAGAAACCATTAATAAAAGGAATCATTTCCCCATTGTTACTTACCCATGCCATCAACTTCGATATCCTCGGTCCGATCTCTACTGATGTGGGCTTCCTCTGGTCCAAATCTGTGAAATACATATATATTGGTGAATTATCAACAACATTTGCAATATAATGATCTTACCTGGTAGAAAAATCAAGTAGTAGAAAAATAATAACATTGATCCATCATTAACCTTACTATATTAGTTGAAGGTTATTACTAGTCTGGACTCTGGGTCTTGTCATCTTCTTCTTCTGCTCCATCTGGAATACCTAGTTAGTCCTCAACCTGAAAATAAGATAACTGCTAACTCAACCTAATAACCTAAAACGGTATAACCTGACAAGTGGGTCATTTTGGCGGGATTCTGGGAAAGTCCCGCCAAGATAGTGATATTTGACAGGGCTTTTTCTGATAACCTATGAAGGTATTGAAACGTGCCCTCGCATTATTGCGGATTTGAATTGTATAATCAAAACTTACTAGGAAATATAAGTAGTCAAAGGACGGTCCACTGCCTACTACCTGCCAAGGGATAAAATTCCTAGTCAGAATTTGATTATCAGATATCATTTTCACAACTCGCTGTAGTTGATACATCTGGCCACCTGCGAACAAGGTATGGGTTGAATCAAGCATTTCTGCAGCTTATTTGATAAATTTCTACATAGTAGCATTATTACTTGCAGGGCCAACAAAAACGATTTCTAGTAGTCAATAAGTGTACTTACTGCTATAACCACAGAGGCTTATATTATTGCCTGCTTTGCTTTTGCTTTCTGCATGGTACCCTGGGTACACCAGCCTGCATATACCTCCTGCCTAGCATGTCAATTGTAGTTTTAATACAGAGGGTAGCCAACAAGGATTCGACCTGTGGATCAGAAGCTGACTTGAGCAGGCCAGACTGCTTATATCTAACACTTACCTGTCTTACTTGCTGTGGGACACTCCTGCTCCAAGCTGCCACTGTCACCTCTAAAAATCCTTCAAAGTGAGCTGTATCTAGTCCTTCTTTTAGTTGCACTAATTCAGGATATAATGCATTGACCTCACCCAGTATTAGCATAGTTTAAGTATAGTATATCTAGTGATCAACCTGTACACTTTTGGTATCGATACCAGAGGGAAAGCTGGGTAAGTTTCCACTGCAACTTGCAATCTGGATTGTGTTATTATGGTTTCATCTGTAATAGTCATCACTTGCTGCTCTTAAATCACTACTTAAAGTTCTCAGAATTAACCACCACTTACCACCATATGAAGTGAACCAACCTCAACCAACAATAAAGGAATATTGTACTTTTACACCCACCCCCTGAGTTTTATTATTCACATAAGTAAATACCCATTGTTTTTAGTGCCCTCTTTTCAGAGACTAAGCAAACAACGTTATATTTACTCATCATTTACAAAATATTAAGAAACTGTTATGACAGTTTATTCAAATTACCTATTATGTTTATTCCAATGTATATTTTGTAAACGTTTTTGAATAAACTTATATTATTATTATTATTACTCACCGAAATTAGTGACAATCATTAGCGTGCTCCAATTATAAAACAAATTTAGGAAAAAATTTACCAGAATGTGTGATTTATTCAACAAATATTGCAATGATGTGAATCTTTTCCCATATTCCTTTGAAAGAATTACCTAAAACATTTTTATTTCCTAATATCACGATAATAAGTGATTAGAAATCATAAATGAGAATGCTCACTATTTTTCCCGTATTGCATATATTTCATTTTCATACCTCCTATGTAATTAGGTGTATTTTTGTATTTGTATAGACACGAATGTTATTAGCTCAGTAACTGATTGAATTAGTGGATGCTTGTATGGGTAACAGCCTGTTATTATTCCAAATTTCGAATAAATAAATAAATCATAACGAAATCAACGATATTGGGATTAACAGGGTTATTTTAAACGATTACTCAATGGGTGTGACGACGCAATATCCAAACTTTTTTCTCATTCACACTCATTGAGAATATAAAAAGTTTAAACGATTATGGAATAGAATAAAGGGTATCATAATTGAAAAGCAAAAGTTGGGGTCCTTTCCGAAAGTGATGTGAGAGAATTAGAAACTCTGGAAGCCATGGCTTGTCTGAAAATTTCGTTGATACCCGGTATGTCATATTTTCTTTGAAAATCATATTTCAATTCAGCCATTGAAAGCTATAGACTTTTTCTGTTTAATCAATAGGGAATAATATGAATATAAATAATATTGAGTTATAAAATACAAGAAATTCAATGAGAAAGTAGCAGAGTAATAGTTATATCTTTTTTTTCACGGAATATTCAATTAAATAGGTGACAATGGCAGATTTAACCAAGGGACCTTGACTTGGCGAATAAATCCTATATTCGTTTGCTGAAACATGAGTTATTGCATTGAACTTAAAACTCTGTTTGTATCTTCATATTTAATGTGATCGTAGGTGTTTTGCCTTGAATGTTTATACCTATTCTTGTTACCTACCTATCGTTAAGTAAGTACCAAAGTATCTATACCTATTGTGAAACTGTGAATACCTAGTTGAATATTTTTATAGGTATTTGTTTTATTTTTATACAATGTCTTTTATGAACTCCTAAATCAGATTTTACATTTATGTTTGCAATTGTTATATAAAAGCACACTTTATCAATGGACAGTGTATCTATATCTTGTTGTTGAATGTCGAAGAATTAGTTGTGAATCAATAAATGTTTTTATATGATATTGTATATGAGTTTTTCCTAATGATCACAACATCTAAATAATGTACACTAATCTTAACTCAACACTAAGCACCTCTCTCTCTCTCTCATGTCCTGAACGTATGCCTCAGTTTGTTAACAACATCTCGTTCGAGATATCGATTCAGGTATAACTCGAATGTCCTGTCTTTATTCAGCATTTTGTAGATCCGTTCACCATACTTCCTGGAACAAAAAAAATTTCAGTTCCATCGTTATACTCTTCAACAAGTTCACATTGGTATGTCAATAATTTTTTACGCTATGAGAAGAAAATCCCCTTGTTAAAATTGATGTAATTTGCAATATAGTTGAGTGTTGAGTTGTTTGGAAATTGTCGTACGCGAGTATTATCAAATATTCCAAATATTCTTAGTCATCCCATGGAAGAATGGCATGGCAATGTATCATTGCATTTTACGAGTACCTACCTAATACAGGCAAGATCTAACCATGTGGTGTGGTATTGGCAAGGTGATCGACCGTTGGGGGCACTGCTTCAAAATAAGATGGCGGCAAAAAGTGTGTTGTTTGTTTACATAATTTGTTGAGATTTGCATACATTTTATTCTAGCTAGGTATTTCATCGTGTCATTTGTGTTTCATTGTTGAAATTTTCAGTGAAATCAATTATATATATTTGGATTATACCGTGTCATTGTGGTGAGAGGAAAATAACTGGTATTGACTGAATCGTGGACAGAAACATTAGTCCGAGCTTTCTTCAAACCAGTCCATTTCTATGGGACGGTGTAATGGGATATCAAAAATCACAAGCATACCCACTATCATCAGAAGCTGATGTATTCACAATCATACCTATATACTCGATAACTCCACTCTTCAAGCAGAAGGATCCAACAGTCCACAAATGCTAATACCATCCCTAAGCAATGTGTTGACCTATTCGATTCCTTTGTGCAAAATATTAAAGCCATCAGAATCATGTGCATTTGATCCATACAATCGAAACCAGCATCAGCAACCAGCTCTAATTCAAGGAATAATTCAACACCAATGGCACCCTGACGTTATTGTGGATTATACAGGGTGTTAACAAATAAGTCTCACAACGGAAAACTGTAGATTCCTCATAATAAAAGAAACATTTCTTTCCTCTTCACAATGTTTCTCCCGACTTCCGTTTTCAAGATACAGGGCGTCAAAAAATCAAAAATGTTCAGTTCAATTAAACACACTTCACAACACTTAATAAACTTAACAATTTGAAAACCAGCATCGAGAACAGCATACTCAAGAACCTGACATTTGATTGAACATATTATTAGACAGTTCTGAGGTATATATTTCCAATGGATTTTCAGACGGTTTTTGGAGATACCATCAGGATTTTGTATGTTCTTATTCATAAAGAGCCATTGTTCACTTTAGAGCATTGAGACAAGAGGACGTTTTTGTGTGAAAGATATTGGCGCTTCAGAATCTACTTTGAAAATTACAATTTCTCCAGTGTCATTTATGTTTGGGAGGTTAAATCCTTACGAGGCGTTGAATTCTCCTCCACCGACACGTCCAAAGAAATTGATCAAGAGCACTAAAAGTAGTCATTATTGATGATGAAGTGTGTACGAAGGCTTAATTCCGTAGCTCAGGCGGTTCCTGAGATAGTAGCTAGAAACAGATTTTTTTGTATTTTTTTGACGCCCTGTATCTTGATAACGGAAGTCCGGAGACAAATTTCGAAAGGGAAAAGAATGTTCATTTTTTCATGAGCAATCTACAGTTTTCCGTTGTGAAACTTATTTGTTAACTATACAGGGTTAGTAGATACAACTATCAATGGCCTATCTTCAGCAATATTACTTCCAGGCTATGAGGATTGTGTACAGCACCAGTCATCACAGGCATATTGCAAACCTGCAACTCCCGTACCTCATATATTATGGTGCTCAACTGCAATAACAGCAAATTGTCATGATCCTATGCTCTATGTGTGTGAATTTTATCCATATCACACACTTTTTATAATGTGAATATTCCTAATATACTTATAGTTGAGATAGGTGGAATCCTAGACTGACTTTTCATCTTGGAATTCATTTATATCTTGTAAAAATAAGTTTTTTTACCATATCTATCTGTGTAGTTCATTAGGTTCAGTATATTTTGGAACTGAACTAATAATAATTTTCCAATTTGAATGTAGACATTGACCAAACATCTGTATCAATGTAAGTAAGTACTGTGTATTATATTGAATAAATATCCCTGAACCTGACCATATTGTGAACAATCCTGCGCCTGACGCAGAGAAATTCATATTTTACGGTTCATCCCCATACGTGACAATATTATTTTTATTTTATTGTTTATTGTTTTGAAAAAATAGCTTCCATTCAGAAATAAAATTCTGGTATGAGTAAGTTGATGACAAACAGCTTCGATGACGCGTCATGAGCCGAACCGAAAGTCATCGTTATCTGAGTTCTGGCTTCCGCATAATAAGTAGGACCCCATACTTCGACGCTGCCAGATGTGTAACTAGTAATTGAGTATCTTATAAGATTCAATATGACCAATGGACAACAGTATTCACATTCACATAAGGCAATAGTTCGACCTGGTCCCTAACAATCACTTATATTAGGCGAGTTCGGCTTGCACATCGGAGTTGGGAGTGGGGCGAGTTTGGAACGAGAGTGAATCTTCGTCACGTGATATATGGAGTGAATCCCAGAGCGCAGGGTTGTTCTGTACCCCGAGTTCCTGAATTACCGCACTCTGACATGACTCTGACATATGTCTGCCTCAACTCAACCTGCTGAAGTGCTGAAATCTTAAATACTAAAATGAATATTAATAATATTGTTATTCCTGTCGTCTATTTCGCCAGACAACTACTTCACGAGGACGATGATGATGATGATAGAAACATCCTCGAGAAAATCGATAACTTTGCTGAGATAACGGTGCCAGCTATGATGGATCACCAGTTTCAAATGCACTTTCGAATGCAACCTGAAACTTTCGAAGATCTGGTTGGGAAATGTATCCATGCAGCAATGTTGAATGATATAAACTTAACAAATTATATTGGATTTCCAAAGACCTCTGTTGAGAAATCTCTGATGGTTACAGTGTGGTATATTGGAAATATGGAGAGTATGAGGTAGGTATATTCTGAGGTAGATGTATTTGCAACAAAATCTATTGAGAAGATACCATGGTGAAGTCTTTACAAGGTCACTTGAGAATAATTTAGTAAAAAACATCGCCGGCGACATGCGGTCCGTTTGAACTCTCAGAGGGACCGGCAAGCGCGGCGGAATTCTTTTGATCAAGCTGTGAAGAGTGACTTTATAAAGACTATACTGATTTTCATGTTAAATGAATATTATTTCATTTTATAGATCTGTAGCTGACAGATTTGGTATCAGTAAGTCTACTTGCTGGCATTTAATATATAGAACATGCAATTTACTGATTAAAGTGAATGAACACTACTCAATTATTTGTTGGCCAAGTAGGCTGAGACAACTTGAGATATCTGCAAACCTGAACAGATTTTCAGGTACATATAATCAGGTCTGTGAAATTGCACTATAAATATGAATATTTTTAGGTGTTATTGGTTGCATTGATGGTTCCCACATCAAAATAATTGCTCCCAAAGGGGACAGAAATTCTTATATAAATAGAAAAGGCTTCCATTCTCTACTACTTCAAGGAGTCTGTGATCATAAAATGTTGTTCACCAATGTTTATGCAGGAGAAGTGGGGTCCTTACATGATTATACATTATATAAGAGGTCAGACTTTTATGCCTCAATCCAAAACCAAACTATTCAATTTTTCAATGATGCTCACATGATAGGTGACTTGGCATACAAATTGAGTTTGAATTTGATTGTAGGATATAAAGATAATGGGCATTTAACACTACGGCAAAGGAACTTTAATGTCACTTTGAATAAAATGAGGGCAAAAATTGAAAATGCATTTGCTTTATTAAAAGGCCGATTTCGTAGATTAAAATTTTTGGAAACTATTAGGCTAGACTTAGCATCTTTACTGATTGTTACATCTTGTATATTTCACAACATATGTATTTTACGAGGTGATCAAGCCCACAATATAGTCAATATTCAAGAAGAAATACTGATAGAAAGAGAAAATAATCCAAATATTGACTTGAATGATAATTATATTTTGGATGATGCCATTGTAAAAAGGAATAATATTGCAAATGATCTCCCAATAATAATTAGACAATAAACATATTATGAACTTATAGGAACACCTAGTGTTTTATTATTAACTTGGTATAGGTAGTTACGGGAATATCTAAACCAATTTTATTGAATCAATCAGAAATATATAAGTCACATACTTGATTTCAGTATTTCATGAATAACTCATCAAAAACATTAATTACTTATATGGAATTACAAAACTAAGAAGTAAATAAGTAACACATCACTTTTTTTTTAATTATTGTGTCTTTTATAACTACCTACCAGGGCCAGATATTAATAACGAGAACAATTTGACGAGTCTAACAAAAATGTTACAATTTTTCTACCATTTTCTCAAAAAGGTTATTGAGTTTATCCAATCGCTCCATTTTTTCTTTGTGCCTACGTTCAGCATCATTAGATTTTAATTTTCTTTTTTAGCGAATGAACTGTCACTTCTTCCTTCTTCAAGATCATCTTTTTTTTCATCTGTTCTGCCCCCTGAATTTGATTTCTCAGGATGATCTGTAAATAATAATTGATAAACAGAATATAACTACTTAACCGAAATAAATATTGGTAAACAACAACTGATATAGTCTTTTCAGAGTCAGTTGAGAGAAATTGATCAAGTGATCCGCCGCGCCTGCCGGTCCATTTGAAAATTTCAAACGGCGCGGCGATGTCTATTGCTGAATTTGTGAAGTGATACTTTGCAAAGACTATACCAATAGCATCCAATAGTATCAAAACAGAAACAATTATACTAAATCTCCCTCTGAATATATTGAGAATTTATTAGAAATAAAATATATATAATATATAGAGACAATATAAGATAATTTTTTGCTCACCTTTATTAATCTTCAAGCCTGACATACTACTGCATGTTGCTATTGGAATGATTTCAGGTTTATTGAACATTATTCTGTTCATGGCATCGAAGAATTCCCACCAACGCTTTTTCTGCCCTGAGGTATTGTTGTGGTT